ACCAGTTAAAACATTTTTTTTTAAAGCATACCCACTCTTTATTAGGATAGACTGCTCAGACACCTTATCATAAACTAATTGATACAATGCTAGGTCAAGAGACAGCATTTATTATTTTTTTTATAAACTTAGGTTTTTGCCATAGAGCTAACGTGCTGGCCAGTGAGTCAGAGAGAGGGAAAGTGAGAAATCACCCCCTGGGGGGGGGGTAACTCTGGAATCCCTTCTCTTCAGTTCTCCTCTTGGGATTTTGGGCATAGTGTGATTTTTAAGCCACTTGATCCAAAATGAACTGAGGGTGACCATGTGGGAATCTAACACCTTCACTACTACTCTGCCACTTCTGGCCCTAAGAAACATTTTTAATGAAATGAAAATTATTCTGCTATCAATGAGACTTCTGCAGAAACATGGAAATACTTATGTGAGCTAATTAAATAGAAGAACTTAGCCTCCATGTGATTAGAAATATGGTTACTACAACCATAAGGAGAAATTGTCATAGACTTTTTAATTCATGTCAGTAGGGAGAGATTTTGACCTCCAGTTTTACTGTTTTCAGGGAATTTCTATTTTATCATAGGGTTGGTAAGTATGTAAACAAACAGTGTTTACCCCTAGTGGTCTACAATATGAAATGAAAGTAAAAATTTCTTTCTAAGCCTTAAGCTTAATACTTTACTTGTGCATTTATAGCATGTTAGTAGTATTTGTCAGAAAGAAAATTTATAAAATATAGCAGATTTTCTCATTGCCAGAAAGCACACTTGTATTTGTTCTGCAATTTTCTTTGCATTCGACCCCAAGTGAGTCACTGAAAGGTATGTGGTCTTTTCTTAGGCCCACTCCTGCATTTCATAGTCTTTTTGCTTGCATCCCTTCACTTGCAACCTTGAGGAGACATAACCCTTACATTTGCCTGGGTATGCCTCTGGTCTTTACCCATTGTGTTTTGGCAATCTTCCTTTTCCTTGTAGGAAGATTTTCCTCTTATGATCTGCCTTGGCATGATAGCCTGAGGCCTAATTCCAAATTTATTAATTTCTTTGCTCTTTTATTTTAAATTTTATTTTTAATTTTGCCACAGGGTACCTATGCTTGCTGGAGAGAAACAGAGAGAGGGAAAGTGAAAAAGTATTCCCTATGGAGCTTGACCACACCAATAATCCCTTCTCCTTCATTTCTTCTTCCTTTGGGGTTTTTGGCATGCACACACATGTGCCTGGTGTGTTTTGAGTCCTAGATCTGGGACTCAAATTGCGTGGTTAGCCATGTGGGATGCAGCCACCTTAACTGCCAGGCTATATGGACTGGCCCTCTTAGGGGTGGAGGTTAAAGATTAAAGATGTAACAGTAAGATGCTTGACTAATACTGGGCATATAGCACTTAAACAGTAAATCATAGCTGTCATCATTATCATCATTGTTTTGTTTGTTTGGTTTATTTATTTATTTTGCCATAGGGCATGTGTGCTCACTGAAGTGAGAGAAACAGAGACAGAGAGAAGATGAGAAATCACCCCCCAGGAAGATTGACCATGCTGCAGTCCCTTTTCCAGTCTCCTCTCATGATTTTGGGCACACATGCTCACACATCTGGTGAGGTTTTCAAGCTGCTGGGTCTGGGACTTGAACTGCAGTTGGCCATGTGGGAGTCCAGTGCTTAACTACCACAGTAAATGCTGGCCCCCGTCATTTTTTTAAAGAATTATTTTATTTAACTTTATTAATTATTTTAATTTCACCAGAGAGGAACAGTGTATATGTGTGACAGACAGAAAAAAAAAAGAGAGAGAAAGTGAGAAAGCAAGCTACCAAGTTTGAACCGTGGTCAGCCATGTGGGAGTCCAGTGCTCTTAACCACCACGTCATCTGCTGGCCTCCATCATTGATATTTTTTAAATCCTACAGTTTGGGGTTAACTGGAAGTGCAGTAGTAATGCAGTGCTCTGTGATGCTGGACCTGCATGGGAAGGATCCTTTTTCTTGTCCTGACACCTCCCTGTACGTGCTGGGCACTTGCCCATGATCTAGGCTGGTGAAGACTGGGGGTGTTTCATGGGATGAAGACCCTCAACTCTGGTTCGGGTCCTAGACTTGGCAGTTTAAAATGCACGCCAGGCATATGTGTGTGCATGCCCAAAATCCCAGGAGGAGAATGGAGGAGAAGGGATTGTGGCATGGCCATTCCCCTGGAGGGGGGATTTCTTGTTTTCTGTCTGTCTCTCTTTTTGGCAAGCATACACGCTCTATAACAAAAATCTCTCTCTTAAAAACAAAACAAAACAAAAAAACTCTAAAAACAAACAGAAGCAGTTTACTCCAACTTGGTTGTCCCTTAAGCTCTGGTGCTCTCCCTCTCTCATCCTTGCTCTTATGCTTCTGCTGTGGAGACCTTTGCAGTCTGCTTTCTGGCCCTAACTTAATGAGTGCCCATGTCACTTCTACACTGTTTTCTTTTTTCCTTATTCTCTACCCTATCATTCTAGAGGCTGCCTCTTTCTGTGACATAGCAGGCTCCTGATTTTGCCTTTCCTGTTGGACTGTACATTTTCTATTTCCTTGTTGGATTTCAAGTCTTTTTGTTAGACCCCAAATATTTGTGCTCCCCAAGGTTCTGTTATTGATGTCTTATCTTCTCCCCTTCCTTCCTCTTTTAATGATCTCACTCTTCCTTGCTTTCAGGTAGCCTTCTATGAAGATGACTATAAAATGTGTATTTCCAAGGGACCAGCAGTTAGCGCAATGGCTATGTCACTGGACTCCCACGTAGTCGACCACGGTTCGAGTCCCGGACCCGGTGGCTTAAACTTACGCCAAGTGCATGTGCGTGCATGCCCAAGATCCCGAGAGGAGAATGGAGGAGAAGGGACTGCGGCGTGGCCATCCCCCCTGGGGGGTGATTTCTCGCTTTCTGTCCCTCTGTCTCTGTCTGTCTGGCGAGTGCATGCACCCTATAGCAAAACCTCTCAAAAAAAAAAAAAAAAGTATATTTCCAATCTGTAGGTTTCAGGTTTATATCTTGAGAGGTCAACCTAGGGGAGCCACGGTATCTTAGACTCAGTCACATCTTGTCCCCAGTCAGCTTCTCCAGATCTTTTGTTAGTTAGCTATCGATGTCAACTACATTCCCTCAGCCACCAGATTTTGGTGCCTACTTTTGCCACATGTCAGCCTTCTTCTCCACATTGCTTTAGTTGCATTTTTCAGGTTACCTTTGTAAAAATATCCTTTCTTTCCAATATTTTTTTGTGTGTACATATGGATAGAGAAATACCAGAAAAAACTCTTGAAAACATTTAAAGTATTTTAGCAGGGCCAGCAGATGGCATAGTGGTTACAGCACTGGACCCCCACACGTCCAGCCACACTTTGAGGCCTGGACCTGGGGGCTTAGGAATGTTGGGCATGTGTGCTTGTATACCCAAAATCCTGGGAGGAGAATGGAGGGGAAGAAATTGTGGTATGGCCATTAGCCCTGGAGGGTAACTCCTCACTTTCCCTCTCACTGCCTCTCTGTGTAGCAAAACCCCTCAAAAAAAAAAAAAAAGTATATTTCCAATCTGTAGGTTTCAGGTTTATATCTTGAGAGGTCAACCTAGGGGAGCCACGGTATCTTAGACTCAGTCACATCTTGTCCCCAGTCAGCTTCTCCAGATCTTTTGTTAGTTAGCTATCGATGTCAACTACATTCCCTCAGCCACCAGATTTTGGTGCCTACTTTTGCCACATGTCAGCCTTCTTCTCCACATTGCTTTAGTTGCATTTTTCAGGTTACCTTTGTAAAAATATCCTTTCTTTCCAATATTTTTTTGTGTGTACATATGGATAGAGAAATACCAGAAAAAACTCTTGAAAACATTTAAAGTATTTTAGCAGGGCCAGCAGATGGCATAGTGGTTACAGCACTGGACCCCCACACGTCCAGCCACACTTTGAGGCCTGGACCTGGGGGCTTAGGAATGTTGGGCATGTGTGCTTGTATACCCAAAATCCTGGGAGGAGAATGGAGGGGAAGAAATTGTGGTATGGCCATTAGCCCTGGAGGGTAACTCCTCACTTTCCCTCTCACTGCCTCTCTGTGTTTCTCTTCAGTGAGCTCAGATGCCTTATGGCAAAACCTTTATAGAATTTTTTAGTTATGGAGGATGGGATTTCATATTGTTTACAGTTTTGCTGTTCATAACAGCCATTATTGCTTAAATATTCATATCTGATCCATAGTCCTGGTTCTCAGCCCTCTTTTGCCCTGCACCTCATCTCTGGAACCTCCTGCTGTTTCCTCCCTGCACTCGTGCTCTCTTGCTCTCACGCCTTCACTTGGTGTCCGATTCATTCATTCTTTGCATCTTCAGCCTTCATTTTCTGGGTTCCCCTTAAGGAAGCTTTCCTTAATGAAGCCCTTCTCCTAGCTGGACGTGTCTATGTGTCATGTCCTGTATTCTGCCTTACAATCTGACGTGTTTTTGTGTTAAGTCTTTTTTAAATTATAAGCTCCAGGAAGGTGGGGTTGGGCCTTACTCTTCTTTCCTCCCTTGGCTTCCAAGTTTTCTTTGAGAGATAAGCCCTTTTCCCACTGGCTATGGTCTTGGAGGGATGGTTGATTAAGGTCTCTAGCCAACAGATGCTGTTCTCCAGGAATTGAGTTTTGAGTCATGGGATTCAAGGTCTGTCAGTGATGAGCATTAACTCAGCTTGGTGGAGGTACTCCAGGAAGCCACTTGTTAGTTCCTGCCTCCCAGATCTCTGGAGCTGCACTGGTTCCTGAACTCCATGAGGCCTAGTTCCTCAATTTTCCTTCGTACCTGTGAGCTATCTCTTAACCTTACAATAAATGTCTCTCTTTTTTTAAGTTAGCGAAAACTAGTTTCTATCGTTTTTATTTGAAGATTCCTACCAGTAGAGTTGTTAGGGTCAGAACTGACGGCTTGATTACTCTAGTTTTTATGTTGATTCTGATGAGTTTTTTTCTTCTCTTTAAAAATGAAAACAAAAAACAGCCGGAGACTGCTGCTGCTTTGAAACGGACAATAGAAGCCCTGATGGACAGAGGTGCGATAGTGAGGAGCCTGGAAAACCTGGGTGAACGAGCGCTTCCTTACATGATTTCTGCCCATAACCAGCGGCACCAGAGAGGCGGGTGAGTTTCTCAGGAGATGCTTGTGAAATGTCTGGGCTCAGTGAAGAACACTGCTTCATGAATCTTACAAGTTTGTAATTGTACAGGCAGATCCCTGTTGTGCTGAGTGTTGTCAGGTACATATTTCAGCAACGTTGTATTGCAGATGGGACCAGGTTGCAGTTATACTAGTCCCTCATAGGTTGCTCTCAGAGTGCTTGGACAGGCCATGCCAGGAGCAGCAGGCTCATAAGCTCTTGGTCCTGGAAAACCTTTCCTGTCATCCTACGCAGTGTTTTCGTCTGGCATTTCTTTAACGTTGTCTTTAAAACAACTCAGCGAATACTTTTCGGTCCACATACTCAACATATCTCTTGTAAATATGTTGTTGCAGATAACAAATGTGCTTCTTTTGACCAACCAGAGCCTGATCCACTAGAGGAGAGTGATTTTGCCTGCTCCTATGAATGATCACTTTTCTTTTTTTTTTAAAGAGGATTTTGCTATAGGGCACGTGTGCTTACCAGACAGATAGAGACAGAGAGACAGAAAGTGAGAAATCATCCCCCAGGGGGATGACCAGGCTGCAATCCCTTCTCCATTCTTCTCTCGGGATCTTGGGCACGCACGCACACACGCCTGGTGTGGGTTTTAAGCCACCAGGTCCAGGATGCGAACCGCAGTCAACTGCGTGGGAGTCCAACGACCTAGCCATTATGCTAACTGCTGGTCCTGATGATCACTTTTCTGTAGTGGAATTTTTTTCTACAGAAGTGTACTGCAACTTCCTCAAACACATGTCAAAAGATTTGATTCTGTAGTAATTGTGTTCTCAGATATTCTTTGAGAACACTTTGTAGAATCAAGTAAAAGCTTCTCTGAGCCCTTATGGTATCTTTTTTATGCTCCCGGTTTCTGGTTTGGAGGAAGAATCTTCCCACATTGTTGACTTTCCTAGAAGCAGATATTAGATAAGATGAGAATCAGCTTTTAGTACAGTTGGAACATCCAAGAGTAGAAGATGCACTTCTCTTTCTGGTGCTCAACAGAGCTTTGGGGCCTTGCACATGTTATTTAGTGTCTGATTCCAGCTTTCCCCCGTCCACATTATTATGGTACCCATTGCGGTAGTCTCTACAGATGTGCACTGTGAGCAGTATGCTGCTTTAGTCACGTAGACTTAGTGGTCCTACACAGGTGCTACACACGTGAGATGAGGCCTGCATGGAGTCATGCACACTGAGGCTTGCATACTGCATTTAAACCTTTTGTCAAGATGTAGCATGCTGCACATTTCATCTTTTGATTGCTTCACCTTGGTCTGTGTGGTGTTCAGCTGCTCGAGAACACCTCTGAAGAGAGTGCCTGTGGCGTTGCTAAGCAACAGGGAATGTGCAGTGGCTGGGTTTCTTCCATAGTCATAATAACAATGGGAGATGGAGATTGTGTGTATGTGTATGTGTGTAAAATGTTTCTTAACACAAATGGGTGTAGTTTTAACAGCAATGAGTCTTTTTGCTTTTTCGAGGAAAGAGGAGCTTCTCAGAGGGAAGGTGCTGAATGGGGTGGGGGAGAAGACAGTTCTCTATTACATGTGTCCAGTTGGAGACCTTCCTTGGCCGTTTTTCCAAGTAGAGGATCTGACTTTGTTGAGAGCTGTAGCCAGCACCCTAGAATTTGCACTTCTAATAAGTGCCTGGGCAGTGCTGATGTGCTTGTTTGAGAGTCACACTTTGATAATCATATTTTTTTAAGTTTCTTTATTTTATTCATGGAGTATATGGACACTCATTAGAGAGCACCATTAACAGGGTCTCATTATATCACGATCCCTTTCCTCCAGCCCTATAGTTTGTTAGGATCTTGGGCCACGTGTACATATCCACGTGTTTCAGGTCAACAAGCCCAGGAATCTTGAGGGCAGTCGGCCATGTGGCTTCCAGTCCTGTCGCTCAGTAAGCTACTGAGTACACCACTGAGACTGACCCAGAGCAACTGTGTTAACTCATTTACTTTCAGGCCTCTATGTATAGTGCTGGGGTTTGTGTGTGTGTTTGGGGGTAGTGGAAAGGTGCTGTTTCTCTTTGTAGATGGAGTGTATTCAGGTCCTAGAAGCATCCACCTGGGACTAAGCCAGAACTGCCGATGACACTGGCCCTACATTACAGATTCCTGACAAGGTGCATGTGTCTCACCAAGGGCTGTGTTGTAGTCACTTCATTCATTGACATTTAAAGATTTTATTTCTGGTTCTTTTATGTTCAGATTTTTCAGCAAGGGAGAAGCAATATTTCTAAAGTGTAGTACATATGTATTTTATATATAGACACAGAAAAGTGATGCTTACTTACATGGAGGAGGGTCAGGTTATAAGCTCATTTTTCTGGGATAAATCAATGTTTAGTGTTTATTTATTTAAGGTAGTGTTTTCGGGAACCAGCAGTTAGCGTAATGGCTATGTCGCTGGACTCCCACGTAGTCGACCGCGGTTCGTGTCCCGGACCCGGTGGCTTAAAACTCACGCCGGGCGCGTGTGCGTGCGTGCCCAAGATCCTGAGAGGAGAATGGAGGAGAAGGGATTGCGGCGTGACCATCCCCCCTGGGGGGTGATTTCTCGCTTTCTGTCTCTATGTCTCTCTCTGTCTGTCTGGCGAGCGCACGCGCCCTACAGTGAAAATCTCTCCCCCCCACAAAAAAAGAAAAAAGAAACAAGATAGTGTTTTCCAAAGTGTGACTTCTGAAATACCAGTTCTATGCAGGATAGTCTACCAGGAATAAAAGGGTAGTGTGTATCTGACCAGTTCAATGTGAGAAGTCTTATATGATTAATCCTTTTTTTTTTTTGGAGAGGTTTTTGCTATAGGGCGTATGCGCTCGCCAGACAGAGAGAGACAGAGAGATAGGAAGCAAGAAATCACCCTCCCCCCCTGGGGGATGGCCACGCTGCAATCCCTTCTCCTCCACACTCTCCTCTCGGGATCTTGGGCACACACGCACACGCACCCGGCATGAGTTTTAAGCCACCAGGTCCGGGACACGAACCGCAGTCAACTGCATGGGAGTCCAGCGACATAGCCATTACGCTAACTGCTGGTCCCTATGATCAAATCCTTTTTGAGACTCCCAATACACATTGACATATTTATAGCGGTCAACCCTGCAGGAAGATCCCTTCGCTCACCAATTTTATTTGACCATGCTACCTTTTATCTTGTAACATCCATGGATGGTCTTCACAGTGACCCTTGGTAAATGGAAATATTGAGGGCCGAGTGTAGTTTGGAGTTACCTGGCTAAAAATATAGAATTGGGTGGTGAGTCCAGATGTCTATGAGGCTAAGATTAATCTGATACTCTCTTGGCTTCAACCAAACCCCATAGTCACTAACCCCAAGCACATTTGTACCAGGCATTTTGCTTGTTTGGCAGATTTCTGCATATGTATTGCATATAGTCATAGACAAGGTTACAAACAGTTACTAATGGATTAAGTGCCAGGTGTGCTAGATGCCATGGAAGGCTCCCTTTTTAAAAAAATGGTTATGAAGAAACAGTGGACTTGGCAGTTATGTATTGAGCATCAGAGTTTTGGGTCCTTTTAAACTGCCCTGAATGTATGACACATGTCTATACTTTGGTGAAGCATGCATTTGAAGCCAGAAGCTGGTGTATATAAGCCAGTTTTTTAACTGGCTAACGGAGAGTAGAGGTGCTCTCTGAAAATCCACATTCCATTTGGTACTGTAGTATCATGTGTTTATTGCTTTTACGTTTATAGGGAGAAATGGTATATCCTAATGGTAGCCATAGGTCTCAAGATGGTTCTGATCATGGTGGTTCCTGGTCTCATCAGGGACTTGATTGCCTAGTGCTGACCTAGGCACTAGTTTGGGGGTATAAGCAAAGGTGCGCAGACCAGCAGGGACAGTGGCAGGCTGATATGTCAGATGATTGCTTCCTCCCCTAAGCCTATGTCCTGCTGCACGCATGCCAAGTGGGCTGAAGGAAGGGGATGGTGGAAAGTCCTCTGGTGAGAAAGAGCGTGGTATTGTAGGTTATCTGGGGATCCTTCCCAGAGGAGGTGGGTGTACTTTGGAAGTGGCACCTGATGTTTATTATTATATTAAGTCTATAATCAACTCATGCCAGAAATAAAAATATAGTCATAATATGACTGACCAAATTGATTTGGTTAGTCCCTATTTTAGAAACAGGTTATATTCCAGAAATTTGACTGTAGTCTGTTTATAACTAGGAACTTGTTTTCCCACTGGAACAACTTGATGGTTACAATCCCAGACTAGTCCACAGAAATTCACTTAATTCACAGTCTCAGAGGGTCAGTAGAATTATGTATATCTTAGGACATTTTAAACTTATTTTTTCAAATGCTCTTTTGTATTCTACCTGGAGCAGAATGGGACTTGGGTTGGGTCACTCATATTAAGGAGGGGAATGATCTCTCAGATCTGTAGTTTATTAACAGTTTTCCTATTTTTCCAAGGGAAATCACACCCCAAGTAAGTTGTCCTCCAGTGATATGAAAGGGGGGGATGACCAGCTGCCCCTGCTGCTGCTAGGGTCAGCTCAGGTATTGGGAAGTTTGGGTCTCCAGGACCAGCTTTCCGGGTGCAGTTTCTGGCCTCACTCGCCTCCAGTTGTCACCAGGCAGTCTGGAAACTACTTGAGCATAACCCAGAGTTCGGGGTCTTGAAAGACCTGGGACTCACCCACAGCTCTGCATTTGCCGTGCTCTCATGCAGTCTCCCCAGAAGTTCTCTGCCTTGTGCCTTCACATGTTCCCCTTGTCACGCTCAGTACCTGCAGTTTCTGGGATGACCAGGGTTGGTGTCTAAACAGGGAGGGTGTCAATGTGCAGGAGGCAGAAGTGAGAGAAGTGCCCTCTCAGGCCCTCACTGAAAGGGGTGGACTGCACACTGAACCCTTCAGCGTCTTACTCCAGGGCCGTATTATAGTTTAAAGACCTCTTCCCACTAGATGGGGCTGGACTAAGACTCAGT